GTCCAGAGACAACTTTGACCAGGGACCATTTTGACCAGGGACCACTTGGTCCCTGGTCAAAGTGGTCCCTGGTCGAAGTTGTCTCTGGTCAAAGTGGTTCCTAGTCAAAGTGGTTCCTGGTCAAAGTGGTCCCTGGTCAGAGTGGTCCCTGGTCAGAGTGGTCCCTGGTCAAAGTGGTCCCTGGTCGAAGTTGTCTCTGGTCAAAGTGGTTCCTGGTCAAAGTGGTTCCTGGTCAAAGTGGTCCCTGGTCAAAGTGGTCCCTGGTTGAACTGGTCCCTGGTCAAGTGGTCCCTGGTCAAAGTGGTCCCTGGTCGAACTGGTCCCTGGTCAAGTGGTCCTTGGTCAAAAAAAGATTTGAAATCACTGGTTTAGATGATAAGGCAGCCGAGGACAATGTGTGTACAGCAACCAAAGGATCGTTGTGTGATCTATCTTGCTTATCGCTGTGTAACCTAATGTTGTATCATGAAAAGATAGATTTTAATGCCATTCTTTGTTGCACAAAATTAATTGAACTCGAGTTGACCCCAGATATAGACAACAATTCCACATCCAGTCCTTCTAGACCAGTCATTGGCAAACTTCCCGGAGGGCTGAAGTTGACCCATGCCTGTTCTAGACCATTCAATGCCCTCAAGGATTCATGCCCATTTCCACTCTTTTACTGCTTCTCTGCTACTTTTCCTTCTTGCAAAAACAAATTATCTCCCAATAAAACCAAGAGAAGGAAATGAGGGTGGTTCCAGAGAAGGCCTGAATCATGCCATCACCAGCCTCATTCACCCAGTTTTACAGGGGCTCCAGACGTCATCTGCCATTCATAAGCCTCCCTTGTTTTTCCACTGTGTATTTACTTTTCATTTGGAAAACCCATTAAGAAGAAAAATAGGGAATAGCTGCAGAGTGCCTTCTGAGTAACCCCCATCTGGAAGGAATTTATACCAGGACCAACACTGGAATACATTTCTATCCAGTTTGAGCTGCACATCCAGGACCTGGAGAGTGGTAGATCCGTTGGACTTCTGGTTCCTTTCTTCTTTCTCTAATAGCAGAAACCAAAAGGTTACCAGTTCAAATCTGGGGGCGGGGTGAGCTCCTGCTGTTAGGCCCAGCTTCTGCCAACCTAGCAGTTCGAAAACGTGCAAATGTGAGTAGATCAATAGGTACCGTTCTGGCGGGAAGGTAACATCGCTCCATGCAGTGATGCCAGCCACATGACCTTGGAGGTGTCTATGGACAATTCCAGCTCTTTAGCTTAGAAATGGAGATGAGCACCAACCCCCAGAGTCAGACATGACTGGACTTAATGTCAGGGGAAAACTTTTACCTGTACCTTAAGGCTTTTGGGGTGCATCTGTACCATAGAATTAATATAGTTTGACACCACCCTAACAACCATGGCACAATGCTGTGGAATCTTGCAAGATGTAGTTCTCAAAGTTCTTAACTTTTCCTGCCAAAGAGCGCTGATGCCTCACCCAACTAGAAGTTCCAAGATTCTATAACATTAAGCCAAAGGTAGTTAAAGTTATGTCAGACTGCATTAATTCTACAGTGTACGTGCTTATTTGGATGCTACAGGAATGGTGTACCCTTTCTCTACTCCCACTAGGGGAAATCTAGTATATCATTATATTCCTGGGACAGAAAGGCCATTTGGCTAAGATCATTTGTTAAATCAAATCAGTCGAGCTACGAAAGTGGTACTTTTAACAAGTTCCATTGATCTAATGAGTCTACTCGAGTTGGGTTGGAAACCGAGTTAAAACAGCTAATTGAAGCAAATTGGACCATGGGGTTGCTGTGAGTTTTCTGGTCTGTATGGGCATGTTCCAGAAGCATTCTTTCCTGACGTTTCACCCACATCTACGGCAGTCATCCTCAGAGGTTGTAAGGTCTGTTGGAAACTAGGCAAGTGAGGTTTATATATCTGTGGATTGTCCAGGTTGGGAGAAAGAACTCTTGCATGCTTGAAGCAAGTGTGAAAGTTCCGATTGGCCACCTTGTTTAGCATTTAATGGCCTTGCAGCTTCAAAGCTGGGCTGATTGCTGCTTGGGGGATCCTTTTTTGGTTGGGGGCCTCACATTTCCAGTCAGACATTGTTCCTGGAGTATGGACTTGTTTGATCTTCGGTCCAAGGCACTCTCAGAATTTTCCTCCAACATCACAGTTCAAAAGCATCTATCTTCCTTCGCTCAGTCTTCCCTAAGGTCCAGCTGTCACATTCATAGGTCACTATGGGAAATACCATTGCTTTAAGTATGTAGATCTTCATTGCCAGTGTGTTGTCTCTACTCTTCACTATTTTATCGAGATTTGTCATTGCTCTGCTCCTAAGAAGTAAACATCTTCTGATTTCCTGGCTGCAGTCTGCATCTGCAGTAATCTTTGCTCCTAGAAATACAAAGTCTGTCACTGCCTCCACATTTTCTCTATTTGCCAGTTATCAATCAGTCTTGTTGCCATTATCTTGGGGTTTTCTTATGTTTAACTGCAACCCAACTTTTGCACTTTCTTCTTTCACCTTGGTTGGAAGGCTCCTCAGCTCCTCCTCACTTTCGACCATCAAAGTGGTATCATCTGCATATCTAAGCTTGTTAATGTTTCTTCCAGCAATTTTAACTCCAGCCTTGGATTCGTGAGTTTAATATTCGTGATTAAAACTGACTAGATAAATGTACCCTGCATGGAAAAATGCCTATACTTTACAGTTTCTCAGGTATGTTATGTATTGTCTTCAGAGTATGTTCTCTCCAATGGAAACTTTTAATTGTCCTCAGTACATACCTCACAGCCTGCCTACACTCATTAGCACAACCGTGTGAATAATTCAGATGAAATTGGAGAGTGGCCAAATAGATGAGAAAAGTTCTGCCATAAAAGCATTCACAGCAATTAAAATCAGGGTTGGGGGCAAAGATATAAACATCTATACCTAGAACACTAAAAGGACTTCTCAAATCTACCTTATAGAGAAGCATTCATTTATTGTTTCAAGCTGTTGCTAGTGAAGTCAAACCAAGGTCAACAAAACTAAATGTTCTGTCTTCAGAGAAGTGTTGCAGTAAAACTTCAATTCGGCAACTTCAGAATTTTTTTCATGTGTGTTACAGATGGTTGTTATGCTTTCATTGTGAAACTGTTGTTTCCATTTTTATCCCATTGTGTTCCCAAGGGCCTTTGGTTTTCTCTTCCCCTCTTACAATAATAACCCTATGAAGAAAGTAAAGTTAGGCTGGGAAGTAGTCACTGAACAAAATGTACTTTTGATGTTTCAAGGTTAAATATGTATTGAAAGTTGAGTCTTCTTCTGCCGAGTCCAACATTATAATCATAGTAGAGAACACTTGTCTTTCATTGTGAAATACCCCAGGGCCCTTCCACACAGCCCTATATCCCAGAATATCAAGGCAGGAAATCCCACATTATCTGAGTGTGGACTCAGATAAGCCAGTTCAAAGCAGATATTGTGGGATTTTCTGCCTTGATATTCTGGGATATAGGGCTGTGTGGAAGGGGCCCCCAGAACACACCGGGGACAGGATGTTCCTGAACATTGTAATATGAAACAATATAATGAAACCGACCATTTATGAAAATATTCATCTCTAATATACTAGTGTTGGTGGGAAGCTCTGAACACAAAGTACATGGAAGAAATGTTTTTTTTCCCAAAGGAGGAAGGTTTTTTTTATCAAAAGGCACAGTAGCCCTCAAAAGCCTCAATCGCACTCTTTCAGTACAAACACTGAGTTGGTTCAGGGTTGCAATCTGAACCCTTCCCAATGGTTGGAAGACTTGAAAAAGGCCCATGATAGCCTGTGATAGAGGAAGGGGCGAGACGAGGGGTTCTACAGAAGAAAGAAGAGATTGTGCAGGTTTGTGGTAGAAGAGGTGGTCACAAAGGTAGGTGGGTCCCAAACCGTTTTAGGGCAGTGGTTCTCAACCTGTGGGTCCCCAGATGTTTTGGCCTTCAACTTCCAGAAATCCTAACAGCTGGTAGACTGGCTGGGATTTCTGGGAGTTGTAGGCCAAAACACCAGGGGACCCACAGGTTGAGAACCACTGGTTTAGGGCTTTATAGGTGATGACCCGCACCTTGAATTGGGACTGGAAAATGAACGGCAGCCAGTGGAGCTCCTTAAACAGGAGGGTTGACTGCTCCCTGTAATTCGCCCCAGTTAGTAGTCTGGCTGCCAAGTGTTGGACCAATTGTAGTTTCCAGGCCGTCTTCAAGGGAAGCCCCACATGGAGTGCATAGCAATAGTCCATGCTAGAGATAACTAAGGCGTGGAACACCATGGCCAAGTCTGACTTCACGATGTATGGTCACAGCTGGTGCACGAGTTTTAATTGTGCAAAGGCCCTCCTGGCCACCGCTGACACCTGCACATCAAGCGTCAGTGCTGAGTCCAGGACCTGTGACTTCAGGGAGAGTGCAACCCTGTCCAGCAGAAGTTGCCACCGGTCAGGCATACGACTGGACAGGGGGACCTGTCTTATCAGGATTGATCCTCAGCTTGTTCACCCTCATCCAGATTGATACAGCAACCAGGTGTCCGAGGGGTTTCCTTGGATTCTGGTGGAAAAGAGCAGTGGAGTTGGCGTCATCTGCATAGAGGTCACGAAGAATCGGAAGCGACCGAACAAATAAACAACAACAAGAGATCTCAGCACTCTTTGGCAGAGGAGGGTGGAAGTCTTGTAAAGATAGAACTCCCATGATTCCATAGCATTGGGAAGTTCAAGTGGTGTCAGTATAGATCAGGTCTGGGCCAACTTGGGCTCTCCAGGTGTTTTGGACTCCAACTCCCACCATTCCTGACAGCCTCAGGCCCCTTCCTTTTTCCCCCTAAGCGGCTGAGGGGGAAAAAGGAAGGCGCCTGAGGCTGTCAGGAATGGTGGGAGTTGGAGTCCAAAACACCTGGAGGGCCCAAAGCACCAGAAGATGAACCAGAAGGCAGAGGCGGGCCTTTCCCCCTTTCCTCCTCCTCCTGCCTTTCAGAGGCGGGGCTCCACTTGGGTTGCTTTTAGTCCCGACCAGAGCCTCCTGCTGTGCCTTTGGGGACCTGGCCTTGCTCCTTCCTCCTCCTTTGTTCCTCGCATTCCTTGCCATGGCTGTTTGGAGCGCCTCCTCCTCCGACCCCAGCCCTGCCGGCTCAGTGCGGCCCAGCCTGGCCTCGGTCTCTTCGGGGGAGCTGCAGCAGGGCTGCCTCCGGACGTGCAACTGCGAGCTGGCCCTGCTCCCCCTCCGCCAGCTCCTGGCCCTCCAGCCCCACTCTTTCCAGCTTCAAGGGGACAGCCTGGCCGTCTTGAACCCGGGGAACCGAGGCTTCACCGTCCTGAGCGACGGCTTCCTCCGGGTCGATGGGCAGCAGGAGTGCAGGCTCAGCGGCTACTTCAAGAGGTAAACACATTTCCCCTCCAAACTCTGTGCATGAGGCAGGGCGTTGTGGGCAAGCATACAGAAACAAGCAGGTCGAATACAGGCCAATGCGAGTAGATCAATAGGTACCGCTCCGGCGGGAAGGTAAGGGCGCGCCATGCAGTCATGCTGGCCACATGACCTTGGAGGCGTCTACAGACAACGCCAGCGCTTCGGCTTAGAAATGGAGATGAGCACCAACCCCCGGAGTCGGACACCACTGGACTTAATGTCAAGGGAAAACCTTTATCTTACCTGGGTTCTCATTAGTCACTTCTCCCATGTTTCATTGTTTTTTTCCATAGACTCTTGTGTCATCTGTAAGGCAGAAAACCGGTCATTGAGCCAACCACAGCTGTCCATTTGTGGTATAATCAATGATGGATTGGGCAACATCAGTGGAAAACCTTTCCCTTTACCTATACAGAGTTGTTTGTTCTGCTCCACAGTCACACAATGTGGAGGGTTCTTCTAGGTCAGTGTTTCTGGGGGAACATTAAGAGAAATGGTGGTTCTCATGAAACCTTTCCTTGATTTGAGTCTACTGGGAGGAGGTTGATAGCCATGCAGTGGGTGGCTTTCACAGTGTTCAACCTTATTTCTCTTGCAATTTGCAGCAACTTCCCATCGCACATTGGGGAGGCAATGCCAACTAGCTTATAGCACAATGGTTCTCAACCTGCAGGTCCCAGGTGTTTTGGCCTACAACTTCCAGAAGTCATTTCTGGTGTGAGATAATTGGCCTTCTGCAAGAACATTGCCCAGGGGGTGCCCAGATGTTTGGTATTTTACCGTCCTGTGGGAAGCTTCTCTCATGTCCACACATGGGGAGCTAGAGCTGACAAAAAAAAACCCTCTTAGAGTCAGCCACTTGCATTGTGTGTTCAAGCAGGTTGTGGAAGAACTTTTCTAAGCACATTTGTCACTTGAACATCATTTACTCCTGAACTTGAAGATCCTAAAAATGTGGTGTCTTGTGCTGAAACTACAAAAAATCTCACATGTACCTTCAAGCCTTGATAAAAGATAAAGTTTTCCCTTGACATTAAGTCTAGTCGTGTCCAACTCTGGGAGGTGGTGCTCATCTCCATTTCTAAGCTGAAGAGCCAATGTTGTCTGTAGACGCCTCCAAGGTCATGTGGCCAGCATGACTGTATGGAGTGCCGTTATCTTCCCGCTGAAGTGGCAACTATTAATCTCCTCACATTTGCATGTTTTCAAACTGCTAGGTTGGCAGTTGGGATCATGGGAGTTGTAATTTTACAACCCGTTTAACTTCCTCTGCCAAATAGAGCTAGTACATCACCAAACTAGAGCTTCCATGATTCAATAGTATTGAGCTGTTGGAGTTAAAGTGTCAAACTGCATAAGTTGTACAGTCTAGATTATTATTAGGTTAAAGCTGTGGTTTAACCTAATAATAGGTTAAACCACCTGTGGTCTGTGGACGTTCACAAGAACTAAAATATGGTCCACGACCTCACCATTACTACACCGTTGCAATGAGAGCGTCTGGTTTCGCAAAACCCTCTTATAGTGCCAAGGCTTATTAAATATAGTTTTCTGTGGGCAAGCAGATGGCAGCTACTGGATGGCATATGTTCTGTATCGAAAACTAGAGTTGATGTGTCTATCCAATTCAGTTTTCTCAATTGGCACCTCAAATAACCGAACCGAATCTAAAGTTTACCAAAAACTGATTCTTAACCTCACTACCTCTGAGGATGCTTGCCATAGATGCAGGCGAAACGTCAGGAGAGAATGCCTCTAGACCGTGGCCATATAGCCCGAAAAACCTACAACAACCCAGTGATTCTTAACCCTTTTGGTASTAATGTTGGAGAGTGGTCCCTGGTCAARGTGTTCCCTGGTCAAAAAAAAAGTTAGGGAACCACTGAATTAAAGCATGAGAGAGCCTATCTGATGTTCCAGTGCCTTGGGTCAGAAATAATTGTAAAAGAAGCATTGCATCTGAAAAAAGTAATTTAAAGTTCACAAAAGGGAGGTGGGCTTGAAGTTTGTGGGAGTTGGTTTTATGAGAACCCATCAGACACTATTTGGGGGCAGGTGCATAGCCATTTTCCTCCTGTCAAAGTTTGGAAAAGTTTCCTTCCAACTCCATGCTGAGTGAGAGATTTCAGAAACTGGATTCCAAAAAAGCACCTTTATCTGTCTCTGTATTTATTGTTTTCTATGCATAGAGATGGAGTAATGTGCACTCAGAATTGCCAGTCTACATTTCAAGTAGTATACTTCTAACACAATTTTAGTACTGTCCTGCAGAGCTCCGCAAAAACCTGGTCATGAGCAATTAAATCAGGCATGGGCAAACTTTGGTCCTCCAGGTGTTTTGGGCTCCAACTCCCACCATTCCTAACAGTCTCAGGCCCTTTCCGTTTTCCCCTCAGCTGCTTAAGGAATGCTGGGAGTTGGAGTCCAAAACACCTGGAGGGCCAATTTTTGCCCATGCCTGATTTAAATTATATTTATATTTTAAGGCTCTCAGATACTGAAGCTGAGAGAGGCATAATTAGCACAAAAACAGATGTGACAGATAATAGTATTTCCCCTCTTGTACATACTAGCTCCAAGTGGTAAAATGCATGGGGATGTAAACAGCTTTATAATTCACCAGATGCTGGTCATTTATAACCCGATCCCTTCTACTTTGGTCACTTCTAATCAGTGTGCTGAACCACACTATTGCTGGGAATTTCCAGTTGTGGTTTATAAGGTCAAACTGATTCCAACAGTTATAAAGAATCTGCTTATGCTTGCTAAATAGTAACTTCCCCGTCGCCAACAATGTATGCCTTGATGAGTAAATGTGTGTCGAAGGGAAGAACAAGGAATGGCAAACCTGGACCATCGCACTGGTTGGCTGCCTTTCAAAATGGACATCGGGACTAAATTAATCCTTACTCCTATCTAGCAAGGATATTTGCATATACTGTAATACTACCTTCGGTAAAATTACTGGTAGGGAATGTACCATCAACTGCCCGATGTTTGTTTGGACTTGGAGGCAAAGTCTCTGCTAAACCCAAGAAAGACTCCTTGTTAAAGATTGACAGATTTATTTGTGATTTGACTTAGGTAAAAAAGTTGGGAAACTACCAGGAAGAACAGTAGGCTAAAAAATAAAGTTACATACAGGTGCTTTGCTTATCAATCCAGTTACAAAACAGATTTGAAGTAGTTTCTCTGTTCAGGTAACACAGGGCATCTTCCTTACAAGCAACAATTCATAATTTAAAGCATCTCTCTGTTCTAAGAATCCAGTAGTCTCTGTCTAATCCCCAGTGGCGCAGTGGGTTAAACCGCTGAGCTGCTGAGCTTGTTGATTGAAAGGTTGCGGGTTCGAATCCAGGGAGCAGTGTGAGCTCCTGCTGTCAGCCCCAGCTTCTGCCAACCTAGCAGTTTGAAAACATGCAAATGTGAGTAGATCAATAGGTACTGCTCCAGCGAGAAGGTAACGGCATTCCATGCAGTCATGCCGGCCACATGACCTTGGAGGTGTCTGCGGACAACGCCGGTTCTTTGGCTTAGAAATGGAGATGAGCACCGACCCCCAGAGTCGGACACAGCTGGACTTAATGTCAGGAGATAACCTTTACCTTTTTTTAGTCTGAAAGTTCATTGGAGTCTCTAAGCATTCGGTTCTAAAGTGGAGTCTGAGTCCTGAACAATCCCAGTTCTGATCACATGGTCTGCAGCCCCTCCTACAACAAAAGAGTTAAGGAAAACTGCAAACCAACACACACAGATACAATGCAGTAAGCAATCTGAATTACATATATAACAAATAACTCGTGGAAGCTTGAGAAGGTTGCTATTTCCAACATAGCAAAACACACATTCACCCAAAACATTCTTTAAAGTATACATATTAAAACGTATTTCCACATACATATTAAAATGCACAAAACAATGATTAAACAGATTCAGATGCAATTTTAAAATTCATCAGTAAAGTCAGAAGCACACAAAATATGTAGAATAAATAGATAAATGTCAAGTGAGAGAATTAAAAAAAATAGGTGGGGAAAGCTTTGGTTAAAGGTGCAACTACATTATAGAAGTAGTGCTTTTTGATATTTTAACTCCCATAACTCAATGCTATGGAATCATGGGACTTATAGTTTATAAGGTCTTTTACCTTCTCTGCCAAAGAGTGCCAATGCCAACTCCCATGATTCTATAGCATTGAGTCATGGCAGTTCAAGTGATGCCGAACTAAATTAATTGTGCACCCTTAAATGCACATGTCCTTGCTACACAATAGAAACTATCCCATATCCTCCTTTAATAAGTTCAAATAGAGATTTGAGCTACCTCTTCTGGAACATCAGACTATAGGCACATGTGTGTGTGCATGTATGTAGGAAATATGGTAAACTTGCATATTTGAGAAGAACAGCATACACTAAAATAAAACATAGACTAGAAATGTCTGCCTGGTTATTGGTGTTAATGATTTTTCAGTGCTGGAAATTTACACCATATTTGTTTCTCGGTGGCATTTCAAAGGCAGGCAACATTTAGGGTTTTTAGCCCCCGGTGGCACAGTGGGTTAAACCCTTGTTCCGGCAAGACTGCTGACTGACAGGTCAGCGGGAGCAGGTTGAGCTCCCGCCTGTCAGCTCCAGCTCCCCATGAGAGAAGCCTCCCATAAGGATGGTAAAACATCAAACATCCCAATGTCCCCTGGGCAACGTCCTTTTAGATGGCCAATTCTCTCGCACCAGAAGCAACTTGCAGTTTCTCAAGACACTCCTGACACCAAACAAGTTCCTTGCTTAAATAGCCATGTGATATTTGTATGAGTTAACTCAGATATGGTCAAACCCAGGCCCAAGGGAGGGATGTGACCCCTGAGGCTCTTTTATCAGGTCCTCCTCTCTCTCACCATCCTATCCTTCCTTCCTTCCCTCGTTCCTTCCTCCTTCCCTCCCCCTTCCTTCCTTCCTTCCTTCCTTCCT